GTTCCGCAGCTAACTGACGATAGTAAGCTAGATGTTCTTGAGTTGGTTTCAGAAAACAGGTCTGTAATAGACAAAAAAGACGTTCCTCACTATCCGTTTACACATCTCTTTCTTACAGACAACTAAACCGAGTTGACTTCGTAAACAACAAAACAGATTTTCGTTCTTTGCTGAATGCCTATTTCCACGTGAGAAAGGTAGTACAAACGCCCAAACAACTCAAACACACGTCGCAAAATTTGATTCGTTTTCAAACGAAAGGCCACAATTCTACTATCCTTCGTTGAAAGATAGTAATAAATCAACTTTTAGTGAAGCCATCAATCGAATATATATAAGACATAAACCAAAACATAACATCATCAGGCCACTAGTGTATCTTAGAGCGTAAAAAAAACAAGTAGCGTGTTAGAAAGTCAACTCTAAATCTTAGGGACTGGTTAGACAGTCGAGCTAAATTCTGACATAGTAAGAAGGAGACTTGTGAAGATGGCAGATGGATAATCAAAACAACGACTGGCCAAGATTAGCAAAGTTGACAGCTCCTGTTGTGATGAAGCAGAATATATGGCCAGTTCTCCCAACCTCGCCTCCAAAGTAAACTCTCTATGATGCATTTCAACGCCTGTCCCAAATTGTTAACCAGAAGTGGGGTTGGCAAACGGTTATAAACCATTACGACAGATTGTGACACATGTTCCCGCTACAAAGAGGATTTAGGCGAGGTATTAAGGACGAGTGCCTTACCTCAAGTGCGGGAATGACTGAAATAAGCGCCTTGGCAAGAGGTAGCATGGCGAAAGAGAGAAAGTTTATTTGACACTGGACCAAATTTGACATATCCATCAGCGGCGACAGAGGTAGGTTGGTTTTTTGCTCAAGGTCTCTCTATATATAAACAAAACAAAGGGTAAATTCTTGACGCACATACTTTTAGCAATGAGAAAACACGAATTCACTTACCTGACTGGAGAGTTCACTAATGAGTCCTTTGAGCCAGGGTCTAGCCACGAAATCCGGTCGAATTTCCGTGGAAATGTCACACATTTTGAGAAGAACAACCATTGTCAAAGCGTGGGATTCATCATCTTCTTCAATGATTGCGGCGAATTGAGAAATCGTTGGCGCAGAGCCGTTCACCACTGACTCAACAGGAGTTAACTCATTAGAAGTGCTTGCTCCATCTCGAATAGCGAGTGCAGCTCCCTCGATTGAATGCTCGACCATCTTGGCAGTGAATGCCTCGAGAATATCCGTGTGCTTGGACATGTCGGTGCCCAGAATACATCGCACAGTGTTCTGTCGGACAATCTCAAACTCCTTATTTGTGAAGTTAATGAAGATGTTTGTGGCTGGAGTGCGAACTAGCTCAAAGGCCACTGCACAGTGGTGGTTCTCCAATGGTGAGAGGGTGTTGTAGAGAATCGACAGACGAGACTGGGCATTGTTCTAAAAGAAGAAAAGACCAGCTACTGATTTATGTTAAGTAGGATTATACAATTTCAAGAGACTTGTCGTGATTAGGACAAGCTACTTAAAAGATTATTTCAATAGCCAAACCTGATAGACATTTGTGAGGCCCGGGTGATCCAGATCGTGACAAATAGCCGAGAAGAGGAGAGTAAATAGATCAAGGTGACAGAAGAGACTAGGCAAATCAGCAGAACAGATTGAGGCGTACATCTAAATAAGAGAAAATGAGGCTGTTATTGATTATTTATATCAACTGACAGGCGTTATGATAGCTATCATTAGCTATTTAGTTGACTTCAGGCCTCACAGAGGGGAAGAAACATCAAAGTGAAAAAAGTCGAGAGGGGGGAGGGGGGAACAGAAGAGTGTTTCAAAGATGTAAAAGAAACAGTCACAAAGGTAGAAAAAAGGTGAGGTGATTACTGTGGAAGCAGTGGAATATGACATAGAGTGGGGTGATGGTAGTTTGAAGTGAGAAGTCAACTGCCAGTTAATAGACTTTTTTGCCTTATGAATATACGTTGCCCAGGGTGCACCACGTGGAGGTAAGTTTATCGCACACCCCGTAGTGTAAAAATAATATTTGAGCTCTTTAATCATGGATCAGACAACCGGGTTTAAGTAGACCTTTATTAAGACACATCATATGGACAAGCTAAGTTGATATGGGAGGCCATGATGTATGAAAGATAATGATAGTGACCAAGAGACATAAATTTTCAAGGGGAGTGAGCAAGTGACTAGTTACCTCATATCTGCAGAGGCCCACCATGACAGACAACGACCGATGACTATATTGTCTTGTTTAGCCAATGTCCACACTGATCCTTCAGCTCGTCTTCCCCATTGGCGCACTCATTTTGAATTCACAAACAGCATAACTCCACGCAAACAGCGTATTGAATGACCGGTTTTTTTAATAATTTCTTCCAATAAATGGTTCTGTCGAATTCCATGAGTCGAGATGGCAATGCTCTAGAAATCAATAAATTAGGGTTTACGGTAGAGATTGTGTGAAAGTTGAGTATACTTTCACGACATTACTTTATCTTACGTTATTTTGCCTCCACTTTTGATACCTAATATTTTCAAAGCAAAAATTTCCGTTTTTAACGATTAAACGCCAGAATAATATTCATTTTCGCTATAGAGTTGATCGAACGGTTTAATCTACTGGCTGTTTTCTATACCAATTCGATTTCATATTCATCTTTGATAGCCAAAAGTATTCGCAATATTTCTCTCATTGTATGAGAATTTTATGCAGACTTTTTCATAATTATCATTTATAAAAATCGTTGTTTTTTTAACAGATCTTGAATTATTTCGATTACTTCTTCACTTCGGTCTTTACCGTGGAGATCACTTTAAAGGTAAGAAAGTCTAAATATTCATTTCTCTATTTTTATTTCATTTTTTTCTTTTTGTTTGTAATTGTGTATGAATTGAAATTATTAATATAATAAATGTCTACAACAGAACATTGTTTTGAGTTTCCTGACCTGACAAAAAAAGCCAATCAACATTTAGTTGGAAGCAGAGTGAAGATCATAATCTTGTTATTGATAGAATTATCCTTAATTGAAAAATCAACTCACGAGGAAATCAATACGAGCTCACCAAAGGACTCATTTTTATATAATTACAACTTCCTATTTTTTATGCAAGGCGTGGTAGTGTGAACAATTTACACGTGCTTATTGTCAAAATAAACACGAGTTTTAGCGCTCTGTTAATATAAATTAGTAAATTTTATGAAACAATTCAAAATTCACTAATGTAAAATAGTTAACTGTCTTGTCATTTCACAAAGGGTTTCTACCTGGCCTCAGGTGTATCATTAGCTGACCTGTCTATATAGCATAATGCCCTTTACATTGCATTATTTATATAATTTCCCAAACCCTCTTGAATACGTGAAGCATATACTACGGTTTAACTTTCCCTTACTTGAGTAAATGTAATTTCCAACTGTTAGTTGGATTAGCAGGAAATGGGTGTCTCAAATTGTGCATGAGTATTAATTCAACGTACCGGAACGAAGCGCTCATAACAGTCGCCTAAAATCATTGAAATTATTTGAATCGACTTTCCCAAAGTCCTATTACCTTACACTGTAAGCATTTATGGTAGGTTGATCACATCTCTATCCCTCGTATTAAACAGGTAATCACCTATGGATTCGCATTCCACAAGGGAGCTTTTTGTCGCAGCGCTAACAACCTCCTTGATTTGATGGTTGTTCTAACATCCATCATTTCATATCCCATTTCGTGAGTTGCGGCCATCAATGTGTTTTTGTGCGATTTGTTGTTGTATTTCGTTCATGTCGTTTACTAGAAATAAGGCCCTATGTTGTCGCTTCAATAATTCAGTGTCTAATACTGTACTAGTTAACATCAATGTTTGAAATTTCACATTTATGTTGTCTCAGTACATATGAATGTGCAATGGGGCTTTGGTTATCTTCGT